AAGGGACTTGGCAAAGTTCAAAGTCAGTTTCTCACGGCGGGTCTTAAGTGATGGTAGGTTGAGCTGCACGCAAGCTTTTGAGTAGGAGATGAAATCAGCACCCAAGATGATCCGCAAGGCTCTACGCTGGACGTTCTCGATTCTCCTACAGAGTTTAGTGGTCAGTCCAGGATGCCACACTGGGGCCGCGTAATCCATATGGCAGGAACAGTCATTACCCAGCGGCTTATTCTTGTAAGCGAATTGATAAAACTACCTACATTCTCTGAATAAAGTTTCCTCTTTAATCGGTGGAAGTAGTAGTGCTGCTTGGCGTCACTCTCCTCCAGGTTAGTATACTTCATGCTAGCTTCGGACCCGATCGCCACAAATTCTCGGTTATGATTGAGGAGCACCGATGTTTCATTTTTGTAGAATTGAAAACCCGATTCATATCCCCAATTTTTATTTATAATAATGTCATCCTTACTATTCGTTGTGGAAAAGGCATAACCGCTGAAAGTGGTTCGAAAAGCAATGGCGGCTACCAAAAGACACCCCTTGCTGGGCTCTTTTTATTCTGCACGCGAGTCACTCTGCTGTAAATCCCCAAGAAGTTGAAGTATTAAGAGTCTGCGACATCTAAACCTAAGGATCCTGCCATCTTGCATACTTGAAAACCTGCTTGACGTGACATGCAAGGTCTTATGGACAAGATGTTTGAACCTATCAATAACTAATCTGCCCCAACACTAGTACTTGGGTTCACTCTCTACCCGATCCAATAAGCTTGTAAGCTGACACCTAACCTTCGGGGATGCGCACGTCTTTGTTTGTTTTTACCACACTCTCCACCTAAGCTTGCTGTTTTTTCTTTGTTTGAAAATTTATGGTATTTTTCTTATATTGGTTTTCTTTTTTTATCTATACGGCACCATTTTGGGGGAATTTCACATTATGATTTACAATATGTAAAATACTCCAGAAACAACCATACGTGTCACTATTTTAACCTGAGTTACATTCTAACTCTATGGTAGTATTCGTTGTGTATGTGCTAAATGTTTACTGTAAAAGCCAACAAATTGTAGGGGCATCCTATGTATCAATATGTGAGATCCGTGTACCTGCATGGTAAAAAAACCGAATCCATTACATGATTTACTACAAATTTTCATCTCTTATTATGTTGTGTCTCTATTGTACTGTACTCATGTTTACTCTCACTGTAACAGTTATTCTTTTTGAAGCTCCACATCCATCAGAATAATGTATAATTCTGTTATTGGCATATTCCTGTGTTCCACTCACTCACTCACACATACACTCACACACACAATTCGATACACACACAACTTGATACACACTAACTAGTGTGGTTTGGTCTTAATTGGAACATTGCTACCCATTTAGGCATTGAGGTACGCTCTGTTTTCTTTTTACATTTTGAAGGTCGTCTCTATCTTGTTATTTTCACCCCTCTCTGAGTAATCGCTAAAGAATGTAGTAGTACTACCCTTTTATTTTTGAAGGTCACATTGTTTTTAGTTTCACAGATGTGAGTCTGCTTAGGTATATATTTCACATAGACATTGCATAGGTGTGGTGTTGTTTGCGCTGCTGTAAATTGACTATTTTATGAGCATGGCTTTGCTTACATATAGATCTAGGCTTCTGTCATCAGTAGTAAACAGTGCATTCTGACTTGGAACATTCAAACCCCTTCAGGAATTGAGATGTATTTATTATCCATGTATTTAGAGACAAGATACTAATGGTGTGTTTGTAGTTGCGAAATGTTTACTGTTCAATGCATGGCACAGGTACAAGTCGTTTAGTTATGTATGTTATTTTACATTTGATGGGTAAATTTTGTTTTTATTGTGACTCGTCCTGTTTTAGTTTCACCCCTCTCAGAATAATCAGTAAAGAATGTTTCCTTTCACTTTTGAAGGTCATCTTCTTTGTAGTTTCACAAGTGTGAGTCATGGGGATTACTTCGGTGGCATCATGTTTTTACTTTAATAAGACCTGAGTCATCACCGAAACATGTTGTCCTTTCACTTTTGCAGGACGTCTTAATGATCTTGCTGTTATAATTTTTATTTCAAAAATTATCTTTGCGTCATATTGTGTCACACGTTTCGCAAAGATAATTTTTGAAAAAAAAAATTATCTTTGCGAAACGTGTGACACAATATAATCTACAACCTAACACGAAGCGTGAACACGAAGTCCTGATAAACTACTACAATGTAAAGCACTGGGGCCCGTGTCAAGTAATGATTAAAAGTAGGGACAAGTGTAACAGGGGATGCGAATGAAATATAGGGAATGATTGGACGTCCAAATTCTATACGATTTGAAACAAAGTTCAACCGAGTAACTCATGCATGAAATAATAAGGAATCGAATATTTACTAAATGTCTTAGTTTTCTCTTCGGTTTATGAGAGATGTCCGTATTATGCAATATACAAATCTGAATGTGGGTGTGCATCGTTTCAATTTTATTATGCAGCTAAATTATGCAACTAAATAAGGTATATCTTTTCAATTTTGA